ATTTCTATTTACAATGCTAATCAACATTAATTTAGGCCTAGTTGATCCCTTAACACTTCCATCTATCGTCCTAGCCAAAGTGCATATACAACACTAAATTGTTGACAAAGGGGCAACAGTCTTTGAGAATTTGGGAGGTGCAAGTGACCAACAATGTGAGTGAAGTGTTGGTGGTTGGTTTCTATTGTTTATTTCTGTGTCCATAACATTTTTCTGCAGCTGCAAAATGAGGTGACACTGCCCACACCACAACCATTGCTACTACTCAAAACATCAAAATCATCACGAGTTACACAAGCAGAAGCAAGTCACACAGAGTGTTGAAGCTGGTTGTAGAGAGGCCATGTTATATATATATATGGTTGTGGTACCCTGTTGTAGATGTCAATATATGCGGTTTCATATGCCCGAGAATAATTTTCCTCGCGGGAAGCATTCCTTGATACTTTGCTTAACATCTGCGGCCAAACTAATGCTCCAATCCAAGCTTTGGACATAATTCCCCTGCTGAAACTGAGTAGTGAAAAAGGGAGGAATGAATACTACATTCAAAGTACACTAATTATAGGTGTACTTAGAAGAAATACCTAGATTTCGAAACTGAGTAGTGAAAAAGGGAGGAATGAATACTACATTCAAAGTACACTAATTATAGGTGTACTTAGGCCTCGTTTGGGAACAGGCTATTTTAGTAACTTTTTGACTTTTTGGCTAAAATGTAAAGAAAAAAAAACCTAGTTGTTTGGGATAAATTTTTTGACTTTTTACAAAAATATGTGAAATAAAATAAGATAAATAATGAGAAGGAGGGTAAAATGACCGAAATGGCCTTATAGCATGTCAGACTACCTGTGAATGTGTCACTGACCTCTGCAAAGTGTTGGATGTGAAGTTGTTTTCTTGGACAACGCAATAAGAGGGTTGTGTGCTGTGTAAATAATACAATGCATTTCTTTTTATTATACAACAACGGTCAAAATTTTTTTCATTTTCAATATTCTACACGTCACGTAATATTATGTAATTAATATTTACGTTCATATACATAATCATTTTATGTGTATGGGATATGGATGGTACTTTTGTGTATTGTAATAATTTGTTATGAAACATCACATTTTATGTTAAAAATAAAAAAAAATAAATTTTTTTTTAAAAAAAATTCAACAAATTATGGGAGTGTTTGGGAACTTGGCTTTTCAATTTTTTTATTTTTTTATTTTTTCAGTACAACAAAAATGTCTTTCAAAACCCAACAAAGCAAATCCCTCACAAAAATATCTAAGTTTATTCCATACTATTTCAATTTTTTTGTCATAAATATCATCACAAAAAAATTCTAACTATCACAAAGGGTCTGTTTGGTGTGCCGTCTTGTAACACATACGTTTTCAATTTTTTAATTATATTTACAAAATGTAAACAACTGAAATATAAACTTGTTTGGTAAATTTCAATTACATAAATCAGTGGTCTCTGTTTATAAATTTGGCCACAAAATGTAAACTTAAAAAATGTGTATCCGTTTTGAGTTTTGAATTTTTCTTTTTTTAATCACCCAACACTAGCCACCACCCGCCACCATTTTCTACCACCGTCTTCTGCCACCACCACCCAACCCCCACCACCGTCTTCTGCCACCACCACTCACCCCCCACCACCGTCTTCTGCCACCACCACTCACCACCCACCCACCCACCACCACCACCCGCCCATTTGCCACCCACCAGCCACATCAATGGAGGATTTGGGAGTTTATAGAGAGAAAGTTTGAGCAGAGAAAGAATGCGACAAAGAGAAGTGAAGACACAGAGAGAGGAATAAGAAGTTTTGTCCAAAACACGAAAAGACGGAAAAACAAAATGAGGTACCTTGGGCAATGTGCCTGTTAGGCAGCGTAGGCAAAATCGACGTGACTTGATGGCGCGTGCCAGCTACGAGCCAATAGTTGAGAGACACGTGGAGGAAACAGTTGAAAAGACTATGCGTGACAGTTTATGCGCAGTTAGAACTCTTGAAACTCTTGAAGTAGTGAGGCCATAACCTCGGATATAGAAGCGATCTCACCACCACCCACTTGCTACCACCCACCACCCGCCATCGTCACCCACCTATCCACCCACCCGCCACCACTCGCCACCACCTGCCACCGTCACCCACCCACCCAGCATCACCACCCGCCACCACTACCACCACCACCACCACCACCACCATCACCCAGCACTCACGTGCCACCCACCTGCCACCACCACCCAATCACCACCTGTTACCCACCACCCATCGTAAACAGACATCCATTCCGTTTTCAATTTATATTTAAAAAAAATTAACAAATTGTAATAAAAATTAGTTTCGCAATTTTTTTGGTTGAAAATGAGTTTAAAAATTTGACAAAAAACCTAAATCAAAAAAATGAGGAAACATTTTCAGTTATCAATTTTTTTCAATTAATTTTTTTATCAAATGTAATTTATTTTCAAAATTTGTTTTCAAGTAATTTTTTCCTCTAATAAATTTATTTTCAATTTTTTTTTCAATTAATTTTTTTTTCCCAATTAACCTTTTCGATCAAATATTTTTTTCCGAACTAATATTTTTAAATTAATTTTTTAATAATTTCCATTTCTTTTGCAAAGTTTTTCGAATTAGTTTTTTACCCAATTATTTTTGCCCAATTACATTTTTCATTCAATTATTTTTTTAATTAATTTTTGGTCATTCACAATGTAATTGGGCACAATTATAGACTTTACAGTTATTGCATGTAATATGTGTGACGAACTTCGTTATGACAATCTATGAAATAGGGATTTTGCATTAACCATATACGCATGCAAAGTACGACGATTTCGAAAGTTTTTTTTTTAAACATTCGTACATCTTCAAATATCTAAACAGTTTTGTACGTTATGCATACAAAAGTATAAAACAAGACAGGGATGACAGATTTCACAAAACACATACTACGGAAAACATTTAAAAGCAGTCATGGTAAACAACACTGTCTGACTACCTACCATTGCGCCGAATTTCGTATAACTCAGCCCTTATCCGATGACGCACCTCCGCCATTTCAACGTCCTCGTCCGTAGCCACCACGGCTTCGTCTAGGGCAGCCAAATCTGCGCGATCGGGAATATCGGCATACGTGTACTCCGCCGCATTTCTGACAGCAGCAATGGTCGCATCATCCTCGCAGTTTCTGCGTATGAAATTGTGTAATGCCATAGATGCAGCCACCAACGGCACCTGGACTCTACGAAAGTCAAACCGAGGCATATTGTGCAAGAATCTCCACCGCGACTTCCAAGCGCCAAATGTTCGCTCAATCACACTCCGCAATGAAGAGTGGGCACGGTTGAACAACTCATCACGATTTCTCGGCTTGTGACGTTGAAAGTGTGGTTGGTGATAGTGGCTGCCCTTATATGGTGCGAGAAATCCCTTCTTATTACTGTATCCGCTATCTACTAGATAATAGCGACCTGTGAATGTGTACATATTAATACATTTTTGTTTCACGTGTGGGCAAACAAATCTAACAAGTTATGGCATTCAACAAATAAACTGTGCGTACGTACCATCCACTGCAGTTGGAAAATTATATTGCGGATCCTCGGTCACAATGTTTAAAATTCGGCTGTCATGCATGCTACCCTCCCAACCACATGACACAAAGACGAAACACATATTGAAATCACACACTGCCAAAATATTTTGAGTGTGGCAACCCTTTCGGCTAAAATACGGGGCTGCTTCGGACTCCTTTATGCACGCTGGCACGTGTGTCCCATCCAATGCACCTAAACAATCCTACACAATTCGAACAAGTAGGCAACGCATTAGTACCATGATGACATGCATTATAGCCGCGCAATTTTTTGAAGTCACATCTTTGTAGAATTTGCGGAAACAAAACCTCGAATTGTTGCATTTTTTTCGCACCTTAAACGGCAAATACTGTGGTCGGCTCTGCAGGTGGGGATCCCTCCTGTTTTGGAAATCTGTGGGCGGCCGACAGTGCGCGACGGTAAACTTTTTCATTGCTTTCAGAACATTATGAAAATGGCGTGATATTGTTTCACCGGAGTGTTGGAATCTTTCTTGAAGCTCGCGGTTAGGCAAGTTTTTTAGGACGTGAATGAAGATTGCAACACTCTCCTCAACGTGCAAGCCGTGGTCCCGCTCAGGTACATGCAACCCGAAGTCGTTCACTAGTGTGCCACATAAACGGGTAAAAACGACTTTGGGCATGCACAGTTCATAGCGAAATCTGCCACTGTGTCCATTATACAATTCCAAAATCCATGCCCTCCCCGTCAAGATAGACGTGCGACATGGGACTTTAAGCACGTGCGCCTTGTAGTAGTCGGAGGCAATTCTGTACGCTTCAACATAATTATTATTCATTCCAGTATGCCACTCGATTGCGAGCGCCGCGACATCATCACACATTTCCTGCATCCGTGCATCGGTGTCATCGTCGCTTTCCATGCCTAAATCACATAACTCCAAATAAAATCAGAAGCATAAATAATCAATTTATTTCATTTGCATAAGTTCTTCTGAGACCTTCTATTGTATTAAAGTAGTTCTGTTGGCACGGTTGAAATCGTGAAGTCATTTACTTGATGTATAAATAAGCAAATTTTTTTTTCCTTTTATGACTAATAAGCAATACAGAAATTGCAATGCGATATACAAAAACACAATGTTAAATTAAAATATACAAAAATAATAACTTAAATTATTTTGCTTGTTTAGTACCTTACAACGGGTCTAACTTCCAATTTTTAAGTTGACGGCTTCAGTAAACTGGACATGTCTCTCTGCAAGTAGCAACGCTTTTGTTGAAATGGTCCAGTACAGCTGATTTATAACAACCACTGTTTACATAACTATGAAGCTGCAAATTGGAAGAGTGTAATCAGATTCATGGTTTATTGAAATTTTAAAATTGTAAAATCCATAGCCAATACCCAACCAATGCACATCCATAATTAGAAAACTAGGCAAAGAAAAGGAATAGCATAACCATCTCCCTACCAATTGTCCTTACAAAGCATAGTTGAAAACATCATGTCATTAGCAAATACATAACAAACAAGTTCGAAAAGAAGTCCAACACAAAGCATTTCATTAAAACGCAGCCCTTTAGCAAATATAAGCGAAGTCCAACGCATAAGTGAAAAGAAGTCCAACACGTAACCCATAACAAGTCCAACACACAGCATAGTTAGAAACGAAGTCCTTGACTGCGCAATATGCTTGCAAGAGTTGGAGCTGCTGTCGTCCTCTCTTTGTCTTGTTGCTTCACCTGCAGCCAGCCGATAATGCCTTCATCGGAAGGAATACTTATAACCATCTCCCTATTATTGGGCACCTCCATAAGGGAAATACCGAAATGGAGCAGTGGATTAGTTTGTTCAAGTCCTTGAATTTCATAAAGACGTCGGATAGCTTCGGCCATAGCGACACTTTGTCCACCGACAACATGGTTAACAGTGAGTTCCTTACTTTGTGTTTTCACCGAAGTCACCAAATCATCCATGCTTGTTGCCAATGCTTCTGCCCCGGTGATTCGTTTCTTCTGCACAGCTGTGATAGATGAGTGCCTCCTTTTGCTACCACTACCGGATGCGGTAATGTTTGCAGATTTCATCAAGTTTGCAGTTTCAGAGGCACCCAATTCGTTGCTGTCCGTAGAGAAGTCTGCACTATCGGACTCCCCTTCCACCTCCAGCTGGTTCCGCATCTCACCAGGCGTCCAAGCATTTTTTCCTGTTGCCGCAGCCCCCGTGAAAACACGACGCATTAATTCCTCGTGATCCAACCTCTTTGTTCTAAACTTGCAACACTCTTTGTCAACCTGTAATACAATACAATGGGAGTACACCATTACCAAAATGAATAACTTATGAATCACAGAAAATTTTAAACTACCAACATTCAGCAAGTATTAATCAGCCATTATAATAAGAAATTTGTCTTGATAGTCCTTACAAAACAGATCTGTCCAACTGTCTGGGCAATTCCATGATTACACATTGCTAACAGGTTATATATTAATCAAATCTGATACAATCTGTTATAATCTGTCCAGCCAGGGATTATGTCCAGACAGGGATAATCTGTCCACACATATTTTTTGATATAATCTGTCCAGTACATTTTTGCAATAATCTGTCCAGGAACAATGTTGAACACAGCAATGTGAAAATAATATTCATAATAGGGCATACCTAATGGAAGATCTAATCCGCAGCAAGTATTAATCAGCCATTATAATAACAAATTTGTCAACATAAGTTCTTAATCTGCATATATAACAATCTATATAAATTTAGGGACAGCAACAACAACAGAAGAAGAAGAAAAAAAAAAAAAAAAAAACCAAGGTTTTAGACTTCTAACATGTCAATGTGATGGCCAAATGATTAGCGGGTTTCCTAGTAGGAAGATAGTCCAGCGCCAAACGGGCCCAACATTGCCTGACGGTATAATATTGGTCAATGGGTGTGGAGGGTTGACCGGGCTGGAATTTGAACCAGTTGATGGTTCGAACAGTTGAGTTCAACTGCGGCCTGGGAGTATAATCTCAGTAACTGTGTGGTTAAGTTCGTAAAACATTTCAATTGAATAAAAATGTATACACAAACAAGCTAAATAACAATTTTACAATCAAATATTATTAAAGTTTTGCTGAGAAGATCAACGAAGTCCAAATGCCAACATTTCACTCTCTGAAATCATCAAATCAGATGTAGCAGACAACTGGGCAAAACACATTCCTTCCCAGATGGGAAGCATGCGAGGAACACTCTCTGCGTCAATTTCCGTAGTAATACATAAACTGAAATAATTAAATTTTCAACATTCAACAACAATTGTCTATCAAATCTATAATAAAAAAATAAAAATAAAAACAACAACAACAATTGTCTATAAAAAAAAAAGCATTATAGCCTTTTAAAACCTTCCCTTTTTCTATTCTCTATTTTTGTATATCTTATTTTTAACTTTAAAATTCTTTAATAGTTCATAAGTGAGAAGGCATCAAAACTGGGTTATTCAAATCTTCATAAAATTCTTAGTAATTAAAATAAAATTCAAAACTGGATTTTGTTTTCTTATCGCAGATTTCTCAGCAATCAAATGATGTCTGATGGGTAAGGAAAAAGCATAGAGGATTAATCAAAAGCAACATACCCAAGAAAAAAGTTTATATTTATCCAAACAAATCCTTCAAATCAATCTTAACAACCAAATGAAGCATATTTCCTTCATCAATTGACTGCCCTATTCCAGATTTCTACAAATCTCTCTCTCTCTCTCTCTCTCTCTCTCTCTCTCTCTCTCTCTCTCTCTCTCAATTCACATGTAAAAGTTTCCATTTCCGTTTTCTTTCTTTCTCTACATATAGAACCGTTAAGAAAGTTTACATTTTATACACACTTCTCGAACAAAACTATGAAAGGAAACTCAGAGAAAAAGAGCACAATTGACCATTCACGAATATTCAACTATATGAAACTATGAAAGGAAACTCAGCATCAAAATTTACCTGAAAACTATATGAAACTTGAAAATAGAAATCAATTTACATGCAATACTCACAGAAACTTCAATCAGAGCATCCAGAGCCGATCGATGCACACTTGGATCGAACCCAATCAAACCAGATGAATCAAAAAGAAGTCTTATTACTATTTTGGACAGATTATTATATGATAGCCAAGTGATAGGCTTTTATTGTAACAGATTATTACTATTTTGGACAGCTTACTATTTTGGACAGCTTATTGTAACAGATTATTACTATTTTGGACAGCTTATTGTAACAGATTATTACTATTTTGGACAGCTTATTGTTTTGGACAGCTTATTGTAACAGATTATATCTATTTTGGACAGCTTATTGTAACAGATTATTACTATTTTGGACAGCTTATTGTAACAGATTATTACTATTTTGGACAGCTTATTGTAACAGATTATTACTATTTTGGACAGCTTATTGTAACAGATTATTACTATTTTGGACAGCTTATTGTAACAGATTATTACTATTTTGGACAGCTTATTGTAACAGATTATTACTATTAAGTTTTCAAGAAGATCAAACAAAGGTTTTACAAAAAACGCATGACATGTCATGCCAAAACTAGTGTAACCACGAAGTGAGCATCACAAAATTATGAAACATGAGTTCAAGTCGTTACCTTCTCCATTGTAGCCCACCATTCATCCGACGCATTGATCAAGCCAGTCTCTTGGTCGAACCCAATTCCAGTGGGGCCTTTGCGGCTATCCATTAGTTTCGACCATGCACGCCACTCTGCCTTTAGTTGGTTGTACTTATTTTTCAGTTGTTTCATGCTATGTGTCAACCTAGTCGCTGCCTCAAAAGTCTTAGCCAAAGACCGGTACCCATTCGGATTTATTGACATGTGCGGCCTGTTACCTGCATCTATTTCCTTGACAACAAGTTCCAAGTAGATACGTGTGTTCTCCCAGTCCCAAATGGCTTTGTGATAAGGTTTTGGGCCCTTCCCTTTCCCGGAAGGGGTACGAGAGCCGGATCGAGTTGAAGCCATGCGACTATAGAACATTATAATTTGCATTACTTATTAGTTTGTTGTGTGCATTACTTGTCGTTGTGTTAACCATATGTTATTATGTTTGTCCAACACATATGCAATAGTAAAATGACACGGATAAGTAACATATTACATAAGGAAAGCATAGTATGGTAACAAGCAACACGCGGATACATATCACATACGGAAACCATAGTACAGTAACCATCTACACACTGTTACATATATTACATACGGAACAACAAGACAACGACGATGATGGACAAAAAACATGTGACAACTTTAAGCACACGCAGACTCTGCTCAATGTCAATCAAACGCGCCTCAAAACGACGACCATTGTCTCTGTCATTCTCAGCAGCCGTTTGTCGGCCATATTCGTCACACCACCCAATCCAATTGACACATGGCTGAGGTTAAAAAAAGTTTTGAAATTATTAGTGACGATCTGACAAGGTAATAATCCCAAAGAAGGTGAAGGTGCTTGTACTCACCACTCCACGAGGGCATTGGTAGTACGCACGTCCTGGATTTTTGGCGGACCGAGAAATCTTGACCACACAATGCCCGTACCCACAAGCACACATAGGGCCTGGTTGGGTTGATGTCGCAGTAGACATAAACGAGGCCATGAACTCTGTGAATGTGTGATTCGATGACATGACAGGCACAACAAAACAGGTAAACGGGTGTGACACTTATGGTATGGGATAATTGTATTGTGTAAACAAAACACAACATTATATTTACAAAAGGGAACATATATTCTTCCATTTTGAATAGGTTTGCTTCCCTAGTCATTTATGTGCAAGTGGTTGAATGCTAAGAAGCGCAGAGGCAAAGACGGGAATTTAGTAAAAAACTAGGATACCGACAAGACAAGACAGAAATACAGCAACAGAAATCTTTTTGTTTTTTTTTTAAGATTTCCAGGTTCATGTATATAAATACTAATTTACGAGACACTGATATAAAAGGCATTAATGTATGTAGGTGTATTTTGACGTTCTCAGTTTCCTGTCTTTGTTTTTATATATTTCAGTTTGATCTTAATGCATCTTCTAAATCATATAACAAAGATCACAAATATGATTTCAGGCATGTTTAAACATCGGACACATGTATCTGTGAACTGTGTAGTTTAAAAAAACAAATAAGTCATTCCACCTGACGTGTCCAACAAAAAGAAATCCCTAGCATGTTGGTGCCCCATACATTGACACAAACACATCTATTTTGAAGTGTCAGTACTTCAAGTGTCTCAGACATTTCCTTGCCTTTCATAATGTGAACATAATTTACACTTGTGCTTTGTTATGACAGATTAAAATCGAGGAATTAAAATATTAATCATGATTGACCATACAACAAGCAAAGAGCTTGAAAATAAAAGTTAAAAAAGAAAACCGCAATCATGGCAAACCAATAATACCAAAATAGCACATGACACACATCAGAAGAAACCTCTTTGATAGCCATGCACACATACTGATGCAATTATAACCATATATTGATAGCATTACAAGTCAAAGTCAACATAATAACCATATATTGATACCAAAATAGCACATGACACAGCATTAACCATAATTAACCATATATTGAGACGTCTATTTGGGCAACATTAAAATTTGTAGTCTCAAAAAACTAGGTAGGTATGAAGGCAACATAATAACGTAAGATCCCACCACAGCATTAACCATATATTGATAGCATTAAAAGTCAAAGTCATCCTTGGATTAGCAGTTTTATTGTATTTAGGACAATGTTAATTAAGGCATAAGGACAATAAGCCAACTGATATTTGTCAGGATATACAGTAGGTAAGCAAAGCCAACGCGATTTTCAGGTCAATATATTAAGGCAACTATGTACGAAGCAGCACAATGGTTTGCATCAACCAACATGGCAATTACTAAAGACTGAACCAACTCAACGGAATGTCAAACTCATTCATGGATTTTCTTGAAACTACAAACTTGCGTATTAGATTAGAAAGAAACAGAATGTTATGTCATGTTAAAATATATGGACATTTACATATATATGTATGTACATGTGTATTAGATTAGAAAGAAATAGACTATATGCATATGTATATGCATAAAGATCTACAAAAAGTAGTTGAATAAATGTTACACAAACATCCTGATCATGGAAATCATGCTCACCAACTTCACAGTTATACAGCTACTGAATTCATGCCTATGTTCCATCTATTTAGCACTTTTTAACAATCGTATCACATTTCCATGAACACTATGAGGCAAGCGTGAAGCAGAAAAATGAAAAATAAGAAAGCGTCAAGCAGAAAAATGAAGACCTTTATACTATTTTGTGAATTTAAAATACAGCTCCATGACCTTACCTTAAACAGATAACCTCAAACAGATTAAAAATCTTAAACGCATGCAAACATATTACAAAATTTTAAGCAGATTAAAAACATTAAACAGATTACCTAAGAATATAGCGCCATCAAATGCATACATTACCTTACCTTAAGCAGATGACCTTAAACAGAAATCTTAAACAGTTTAAAAATTTGAAACAAATTAAACATTTGTGAAAATTGTAAACACATAAAAATCAACGTTACCTTAAACAGATTAAAAATCTTTTGCTGAAGTACATTGTTTAAACACTGAGACATATGGAAGATGAGTTTGTTGTGGAAATTCGTATGATTCGTTGTTTTCTAGTGACAAGTTTTCTTTTTTTCTCCCCCCTCCTTTTTCATTATAGGGATTGAATCCACCTTACTCAAAAGATTAACAGGGACAACCAGACTGCCACATAAACAAAAAGAAAATGACCAATTATTCACCAACGTTATTGTGATGTGTTCGTAGGAATCACAATGGTGGCATTCGTAGCTAATTTCACCAAATTTATAGGAATAGTATAAATGAAAATTTCATGTCAACGTATTGCACAATTATAACCACAGAGACAGACAGAATACTTCCAACTTGTTCTGTTAATACAGACTACGTCGTCCTATTTAGGGGGCTTTCTTGTTAGGGGAAAATTAATCATAATACTTCATCGTATAGGGGACTTTGTTATCCCCCCAAAAAAAGCGTTGTAATTTTTTGTTAATGCGTATGAAATAGGCAACGGTTGATACACACACAACGACAAAGACAAACAGAGAGCGAGAGGGAGAGAGGGCAGACTGTGCACATATACAAAAACCAGAGCAGAGAAGTCATGGTTATGAGATCCACACCCCCCACCAACGGATAACCCGCAATATTACCTATTTCCGGTACGTGAAAGAAACCCTAAAACCCCCAACATAATAGGCCAATTTCTGGAAAAATTTACCCAACTAGAATGTTGAAGACAAATTGGAAAACGACAATGGTCAGACAGAGCGACAGACACATATACACAGACAGAGAGAGCGCGCGAGAGAAACAGAGAGAGTTCATACGTACATACAAACCAAACAGAGCGTACGACGGTTGGGAAGCCATAGCAAAATGGAAACAAGAGAGGCTGAAGAGAGAGAGACAGAGAGCGAGAGAGAGAGAGCGAACGAGAGCATACCTGCAGTTGGGGGGATCGTCGGAGGAGGGACTGCTTTTCCGTTTGCCTTGGCGGAGTATCGTCGTCTCTTGGTTCCTCTTTCTCTTCAGATCAGAGCTGCTACTATGATCCAGCCTTGAACGAAGGGTCATATTCATCTTCACCGTTTGATGTAGCTGCACAGACGTAGCTACTACACCCTGTGGGAGAGTAGGTCTGCTGACATCCCCATCAATGTTTGACATAAAGGCAAGGGTGAATACGAGATAAACAAAATGGAAGAGGGGCAAAACGGTCATTTTACACAATAGCTGGCAGCCTTCACGTGCAGCTAGATGTATATAGGTTTTTAGGGTAACTTTTTGGCTTTTTTGATAACTTTTTGGCTTTTTGACTAAAACAGAAGCATCCCAAACGAGGCCTTAGAAGAAATACCTAGATTTCACCTTGTGGCTCAGATTTTAATTCGGTGAAATTTTATTTTATGAATGGATTTGAGTATTTGATAATTTTGGTATAAAATTCTAATTAAAATTTTGTGTTACTGATCAAATTAGTCATATCAGCTGGACAAGGTTTAGCTTACATAAAAAGTACACTATCTCAAAGCATCTCCAACCGATTTTGTACACGAGGCCCCATATTATGCAAAATATTAGTTTTTTTATTTCTACATCTTCAGCAAGCTTTTCCATTGTATTCAAAAAAACAAAAAAAAATATTAAAATTTTTTTCCATATGACAAGATGTTTGTTTGTAGTTAATTTTTTATTTTTTTTAAAAAAATTGGTCTCTAATTAATCTTGGTAGGTAAATTGGCGCTGTTTGAGAAAAAATGAGGTTATTATAACTTATTTTTTAAAAAAAAGTCCAAAAGCAACACTATTAGAAGTTTTTTCAAAAAAAAAAAAAATATAGGCTGCATAGCCGGCAGTGTAGGCACAGCCTACACTGTCAGCTACAACACTTGTTCCATCAATAAGTAAATTACGATTTTATCCCTTGATATCAATTAAAAATATATATTTTTAGGGACAAATTTGTCATTTTAAATTTAAATATCATTTCAACACACTTTTCAATACAACAATTCAACTAAAAATTATCTCATCTTTCCAAACACAAAACTAAAATAACCTACTAAAATAGTCAAAAAATCAAATAACCTACTAAAATAGTCACTTTCCAAACGAGGCCATTTTAGTCCATCGTTATATAAAAAAATTATCCCTATCTCCTTCCCTCTAGTCGTTTTTCCTCCCACGGGAGAATACAATTTACAAAAGAATAAATAAAATTGAAAATGATAAAATTAAAATTATAAAGGGTTAAAGTAAAATTTTAGTTAAATTAAATGGACTATTTATATTGGGAGATTTGGTGAAAAGCTCTCACGTAATAAAATTTTAATATATTAAGGACAAGCATACAAAATTTTTCTTGAAAATTTAATACATACACTATTATTAAAATATTAAATTTAAAAATAATATAATTTTTTATCTAAATATTAATTTTTAATAAAATTAGTATTTTTAGAATCATTTCATCAAGATCTATCAATAAAATCTACGTTAACTATGAAATTAAAAAATATATATATCATTGTCTAAATTAATGTAAACAGTAATATGTTACTCTATATAATAATAACATGTTATTTTGATTACAATAATATGTTACTCTAATAATATTGTTTAAGAAAAAAAAATAATTTACTTTGTCCTTATTCCATTATGTATCTTTTCATTAAAGAGTTTATGAAACAAAATAAAATAAAATAAATTATTATTTTTACTAAATAAAGGTCCAATAAAAAGATTTTGATTAAATTTCTCGGGGTATAATTTATTTTATTTATTATTTTGATTTCCATGGAATAGCTCAGCAGTCTATTTATTTGCTTAACAGAACAGACTCATATGCCACTGAACAGTAGCCAGCAGCTGCAGGGGAATTCTACTGGAACTAAAATAAAAAATAAATAAATACGTAGAGAGAGAGAGAGAGAGAGAGAGAGCAGGGTAGGTGCGTGGGATTGAGGCTGATGAAGACCACTCCTCTAGTAATCATCGGGGGGGCTGCCCCCTCCACCGCCCTTCGTACGTGTATAGCCCCCTTTTCTCGCATTAATAATGGCTTTAACAACAACATCACCACCATCAAAACCCCTCAACAATTACCTCTCTCTTCTCAATTTCCCTTCTCTCTTCCTCGTCCTCTTTCTCTTATCGCCATGGCCTCTTCTTCTTCTTCTTCTTCAACTCAGTCCCCTACTCAGGTATCTCTCTCCCTCTCTCTCTCATCATCGACATCTAGGGTTTCATAATAATTTTTTTATATATATGTCTAGTTATTTATAAGAATAAAATCTGGACCAGATGAATGATAATTATCGTGTTAAATCGATCTAATAACTGTTTTAGTTTTTTTTTTATAATATTTTTGGGAAAATGTTTGTTTGTTCACTCAGAATGCGTCAGCTGCGGATTCTACTGCTGAATTTAATGTCTTTCAACTCATTCAGGCTCATCAGGTATTTTTATTCTACTTACACACACACACACACACATATATATATATATATGTTCTATATGCGTGTGTTATTGGAACTAGGTTCATTGTGACTGCAGGGAAAGGCTGCTAGGCTTCCTTTCGTTGAAGAAATTCGAACCGTTCTTGATCACAGTTTACGCGGCATGCTTTCCACTTTCTCTCAGGTTAATGATTGATTAAACACCGATCTGATTCTTCAAACTGGACTTTTTTGTATATGCTGTTTGAATTGAATGGTGAAAATTCAATAGCTGTATGATCATATGTTCTGTGTTAGTACGCCACATTACAGGAGCTATTCTAAACGATATTGATCCTCCTGCCAACTGGATAAAAATGTTATGTACAATAATGCTACTCATACATAAGTACAAATGTCACCAATTGTCACTAGAAAATGATTCACCAATATATATATTATGATGCTTCGATGTAAATCAAAGATATTCCCATTTTTAGTAAAATATCATATGATAAACATGACACATCTATCTATGAGCTTAGAGAGAGAGAGAGATGGCTTTTGATGCACAAAGTATATCTTACAAGGACAGAAACAATATTTGGTCAATAGGGACTGATATATGGTTCCTTTGGATACCCATATTCATTTAAAATTATATATGATTAACTCCAGTATAGTTCTGATATTCTGCGTTCACACTCTGGTTAATACGCGATTAGGTATTCATTGCCTCTTGTTTATACAATCAGTTCATTATTTTCAAAGCTTGTTGCAATTCCTTTTTAACATGCAGAAGTATGAGGGTTATCCATCTGGTTCAATGGTTGACTTCGCTTGTGATGCCTATGGATCTCCAATATTAGCAATCAGCAGCTTGGCAGTTCATACCAAGGTTGGCAAATAATTTTGAATTTTGTTATCACACGTGTACTAATTGGATGTTGTTTATATATATATATATATATATCTCTTGAAAATTGTTCTAAATGGTGGCATCCAAAGAGGTGCCTTGATGTGCACAACTGTGAATTGTCTTTCTCTTTGGTTCACAAGGACAGGTAGAATGACAATCGAAGTTTAGCTTTACAGTTACAGGAGATTGTAAATTTTATATTCCTACTGTTTAGCTGATTGTTAAGAGACAGCAAAAGGAATGCTGAATGATCTTCGGAATAGAAAATTCTTAAATTTTGGTTATTAGGATTAGTTTTTCTGGTGATGCTTGGGAGGTAAATTAATTTTTGAATTCATTCTTTTTAAATGCACCTTCTTATATTTTAGTGATAAACTTGATATGCATTTATTTAATTTAAGTTGTTTAATTGAGCATATAGTCCTTAATAAGGCGGAATGGCGAAAAAGGATTCAGGTAGCTGACCACTACCTGATTAAGATACATGGTTTAGTTTGGTCTGGTTTGGAGTCTTTTTGAATGTGAATTCTTATATGTTAGTGATAAGCTCGATAAGTTGAAATTCAGAATATTTTAATCACTTAATTTTTCGTTAGCACAGGTGTCCTGTCTGTATTCTTATTCCTCATTAGCATAGGACTTCAAAACTTTGCTATGAAATACTTGCAGCATTTTTATATTTAAATTTTTTTTTAGGATCTTCTAGTTTATGAAAAGTTACTTAATTAGTTGATACTCGCTGTTTTTTGCAGGACCTCTTAGCTAATCCAAAATGCTCTTTGCTTGTAGCAAAAGATCCTGAGGATAGGACTGATTTAATTATAACCCTGCATGGTGATGTTGTTTCTGTATGTTAATGACTTCTGATTTTTGGATGATGTGTCATTCTGATCTCGATTGCTGCTTATGTTAGTCTATTCTCAATGCATTCTATCCCCCTTTGAATTCAATTGGAGCCCTAAAATTCAAATATTTTTTTGTTTTGATAAACTATGCAGGTCTCTGAAAATGATAGAGAAGCAATCCGTACTGCATACTTGGCAAGGCATCCCAATGCATTCTGGGTAACTTTTTTGGCCACTTGTTTTTTAGCATGCATGCCTCAATCTGATTCTTTACTCTTTCAGATGAGCTAATAAGACAATCCTTTCTAATATGAAGGTTGATTTTGGTGACTTTCAATTTGTGCGTATTGAACCCAAAGTCGTAAGATATGTGTCGGGGGTTGCTACAGCTTCATTGGGTTCAGGAGGTTTGTGTATTATCCAGCAAAAAATATTTTATTTTTAAATTTATTAGGTAACCATCATTAGTGCTTGAGATAGAATTGGTCTGAAGGTTTCCTATCCCTTCAAGTGCTATAAGACTGCAAAGATGATGACAACTAATGCTATTTTTGCTGAATGATTATGCGACCTGACTATATTTTCAAAATCTGGTTTGTCTCCTTGTTCCTTTTTCTTACCACCTCTTTCTGCTTTTTATTGTATTTTTATTCCTTCCTTCAGAGTTTAGCAAAGAGGAGTATAGAGCTGCAAAAGTGGATCAAATATATCAGTTTTCCAAGCCTATTGCGGTATAAATGGCTAATATTTTTCGTTCCCCTTTTTGGCATATATTTCCATTGTTTATCATAATTTTTTTTGTCGTCATTTCTATTTTGTATATATGTTGTTGGCAGTCCCACATGAATAAAGATCATGCAGAGGATACAAAACTTATTGTGCAACACTCAACCTCAATTCCGGTAATCAGGAATACTCCTTTAATCATCTCATTTTCATATGACAAGCAATTGCGAGAGCCGATCATAGTAACAAACCCATGCTGTCAACATGGATAAAACCAGGATTGGTAATTTCGGCATGTTTGGTTGTGTGTTCATTTTTTTCGTTTCCAGTATTCTTTTTCTTTTTTCTTTTTTCATTTTACACGTATTCGAAAACAAAACAATGAAAAAGTGGGTTGTTTTCAGAAATTTTTTCCGGAAAAAGCTTTGGAAACAATTCACCAAACAACTATGTTTTCTGAAAGATGAAAATAGAAAACAGAAAATGAGAACACAATCAAAGAGAATTGGTTCCATTGTGTTTTTTAACAGAGGTGGGCTGAAAATTGAAACTGATAACAAATGCAACGAGAAAGAGAGGGAAAACATTTAGCTTTCTCATGCTTGGAATCATTAATTAGCTTGTAAGTTGTAAATTTAGAAGCAGAAGGTCTTAGCTACTAAATTATCAGCTAATATTTACGTCTTCCTGTTGGAGAATATATGTTTACTTATGTTTGGTTGTGTTTCTTATCCTGGAAATGTAGAAAATTTACTTTCAATTAAATTATAATGGAGTGTGATTGACAATTGCATACTTCACTCGCATTCTAAAGTTCAATTTATGCCACTCTGTAGGTGGATTTTGCTCACATGCTGGATTTGGATTGTCTTGGTTTCAATGTTAAGGTAATGCTATATTTACCATTATCTATTTTGTCCATTCCTAGTATTTTTAGGACTTCAAAATTTATCACCAAGATATTATTATACATGCAGAACTTCTTGATGTTTTATTATTCCTGATATATCTAGTTGGAAAAGTTGCTTACCATTTTCTTCTATTTAAGGCTGGCCGTCAAGGGGATACTTTCAAGCTACGAGTTCCCTTCCCTAGAAGTGCAGTGGATAGAAAGTAAGTCATTATCAATTCTTACTGGTGTGTTACCTTGTCTATGCTGTACATGGCAAAACTATCTGAAACTATTTTTCTTCATTTTATCTTCAATTGATGCCACTCATGGTGTTTCATGTTACCACTGTTTCTTTTCTTTTGACAGAGATGTTAAAACTCTGATAGTTGAAATGCTTCAAGCTGCAAAGTCACAAGTTAATTGATTCTACTTGTGAAGAATGAAGAGACGCGGGTTCCAAATACCAGTATGCATTTTTCTTTTATCATTTGACCTGTATCTCATCAACATCTTGTGCTTTTGTGCTTCTTGTTATGGCATCATCAACTGATCTTTGAACTGCATGTTAACTCAAGTAGACCTTATTGTGGAAGCCAGTCGGATACTTTAAGTCAGGGCAAACATAAAATAGCCATCTAACACACTATACTTTGAACTTGAACTATGTGCCCCATCATATGCCACTTCTTGAATCAATACACCACTGTATTTTGTCAATATTGCACAATAATATGCATTTTGTTTTGGTTGAGATTGTGCAAAATTATTCACAAATACGAAAAACAGTATGATCAATAGATTTTTGATTCATTTGTAACAATTTCAGGATGACAGATCATCACATTCTGTTACATTTATTTTTTTTGTTCCTCTTTGGATTTTTTTAATTATATTTCTTTCTTTTATTTTTATTTATTTTTTCCATATTCGTCAAGAGTATTTTGTATGGCATTTTCCCCATCCATCCTTTATGCCCTACTTTGTTTTTACATACGATTTGAATCCGTAATTTTTTTTTGCTAATTCCATTTTAGGTCATAATATTAACACAAAGGAATCAGAGTTTTAAAGGTGTTAAAACTTTATGACCTTGTCCTTTGAGCAACATAAATTTCTCATCTTGTATATCTATAAAGTTATGTTTGGGTCTTGGATTTATCTTGAGAGTGAGGAAAAAATGTAATTAAACAAAAAATTGGAATTTTTTTTTTTTTTTTTGAGAACTAATATCAATTCGTATTTTTTGTTTGATCTTCCAATCTCAACCAAAAAAGAGAATCAATTTTAGTTTCTGTTTTACATGCCTTTTGTTCATCTGTATGCAGGATCATCATGAGAAAGCATAAAAAATCACAATTTACTTTGGTATTAATGGACAGATGGAAACAAAATGCAAACAGTATGAAACGCACTACTCCTCGAATTGACGACATGTAGGCTGAAAAATTTGACTAGCTATTGTATATGTTTGACAAATTTGTTTGTTGTTATAAAGGATAGATTTTGGTGGTGTAAAAATGGAAAGTCTGCTTGATATAAAAATGGTATAAAGGATAGATTTTGGTGGTGTAAAAATGGAAAGTCTGCTTGATATAAAAATGGTATAAAGGATAGATTTTGGTGGTGTAAAAATGGAAAGTCTGCTTGATATAAAAATGGTATAAAGGATAGATTTTGGTGGTGTTAAAGATGGAAACTCAGTACACATGGAAATTGAATTTTCCAGGTCCTAATGAAAATTGCAATACTATAACAGGGTTTTAACTGTGCTTTCATCTTTAGCTGTATAATAACGTGTTTCTCTGTTCATCCTCCCAAAAAAACAAGAATAATGTTATATGCTCTAATTAGTGTACTAACTAGTATACTAATTGATAATGTGGTATAATTTAAGATATTTTTGATATTTGTGATTTGGTTCACGGAGTGGAGTTAATAATAATGTCATAACCAGTGTTAGTACACTAGTTAATACACTAAACACTAAAAAAACAAATGTCTTTTTATATATGCATCCTCTAAATATTTTTAATAATATTATAATAATCATATTTATGTATTAAAAAATATTTATCATCTTATATGTTATTACTATTTTGTTGGCTTAAGAAGGCTAATCACTCCAATTTGATAAGCAAAACACGATAAAGGCGGCTAGTTGTGGTAATACATTTGTTAAAGATCCTCTATTGTTAAAAAAAATTAAAACTTTAATATACATGTGAGTTTTTTTCATAAATTTTTATACATTATATATGTTATAAATATTTATTAATAATAATTACGGTCCATTTGGCGGTTTTTGGCGTTATTCATATGATAATGTGGTATCTTTGATAGTTTTATTTATTTATATTTTTTTACTGATCAAGTCAAATAGAAACTTTATCAAAAACAAGAATTCCTGACGTGTGATCTTTATCCCAACCATAGATTCACAGACATTGATTTCGATGAATCTATAGCTTATGACTTGGTGTGAACAAAAGTACCCAGGTTCGTTTGGTAAATTGTTTCTAATCAATTGAATTTTACGAAATATTTAAAAATTATTTTTGCAGAAAAATTATCTTTTTAAAATTTTCATTGTTTTTGTTTTGAAAAGCATGAAAAATAAAAATAGAGAAAGTGGGGCTGCCTGGTGGTTGGTGGCTTCACTGCCTGGGTCACCAAATTAGATTTCTACCCCTGCCATTTTAAAATTAAAATGCTCTAAAATACATCAAGAACTTAAATGCAAAAATTAGACTGGCTACTTTATTAAAAAGTACAAAATTATCAGCATACTGTAAATAAAGAATATAATACAATTTGTGCGGTTATTTTTATTTTATTTTAAATAGTAAAGTCAAGTTTGACATGTCTTGAAAAAGATAAAAAGTCAAAAAATCACTATTCTATTTAAGTCATATCATCTTATTTAAATCACATCATCTCTCTTACACATTACTTCAAATTCAACCCAAACCCAATTCAAAAATAAAAAAATACACTTATTTAGATCATCCCAAACAACCCCTAAATAGAGGGGAAAGATAATTTAAAGTGGGCTACTATTATTATTATTATTAATCCAAAGAGGATGGATTCATTTGTCAGACAAATAATTTGCTCTATCCGGCAGCCAGGAGCATAGACAGTCAAAAAGAGGACAAAATCCAAACCAGTGGCCAAACAATGGTGGCATTTACATATATAATTATTAACATTAACAATGCTAAGAACACATGTAGTAAACAATAGGGAGTTATTCATACGAGAGAATAAATAAATAATGAAGGATTGAAATTAAATACAATAACGAAATGATCCAATTCAGCATATATTTATATATATATATATATATATTATCATTACATTTTAAATAAATTATTTTGTGTTTCTAACATTAGTGATGCAAATGAGAAGATTGAGTAAGTCGAAAAATAGAGAGTACTAATAATAGAAGGGTTAATCTATATAAATTAAAAAATTGAATTCACAATTATCAACCAAAAACTTACTACTTTGTATACAAAGACATTGGAGGCTGATGGGCGGTTGGGTATAATAACCCCTCTCTCTCTCTCTCTCTCTCTCTTACCACTACCTCTCCCCCATTTTCCAAAAAAAAAAAAAAAAAAAAAAAAAAAAAAAACCCAACCCAACCAAAAGAAAAGTGAAAAAAAAAAAAGAGAGAGAATCCAAAAGAAAGCCCCCAACCTTCTCACTCTCATTCATTCTGAATCGCTCTCCATGCTGGTTCCCATGGCCTTCAATCCCCTCGGTCTCTGCCAATCACAATCACAATCACAAAACATAATAGTAATAAAAACAAAGCCATAAAATAAAAGAAGAGAAAATAATGAGTTTTGATCAAACAAGGAAAATCAATCCAATTTTATCCAATTATTATTAAATAAAAAAGTGAAGAAGAAAGAATAGTAGGGTGGGGGGTAACCAACCTTCTTAGAACTCTTCTTCTCTCTTACTTCATACCTCTCTTGGCACATCTCTGACAACCATGCCCCTGGACTCACCAACTGTTTCCACATCCAACCACAAATTCACAAATCATCAGAAAGAATCATAACCCACCCAAATCACTGCTGATTTTTCTTTTCTTCTTATCTAATTTTATCTTAGCCAAAAAGAAAAGAAAAAGAAAACCCATATCATATAACTGAAATTGAATTCCTTTGCATTCTCAAGTAATAATTTCAGAGACCTATAAAATCACACGCAGACAGAGACAAAGTCAGGGAAACACAGAGAGAGAGAGAGAGAGACTTACAAGTAATGTTCTTTGGATGATTTTGGCCCTTTTCTTGGGCCTCTGAGGAGGTTTACAGCCTTTGATGGCCATAAAATCCTCCTCTTTCTCTTTACTCGACAAACTTATATACAGCTTCGGCCAAACAATCTCTCCTCTGTTTTCATCCCCGCCACTACCACCAACTCTCTCTCCTCCATCCATCATAATCGAACCACCGGCCTTTCCATTCTCATCCAACCCCAACCCCAACCCCAACCCAGCCACTGACCCTCTCGTGGTGTAGTACCTGTCTTCCTTCTCTGGAAAACCTGATGCCGACTTCAGATTCTCCGAATTCCTGCAAATCACATCCACATGCATCAAATTTCCTCAACTAGTTTATCGGGAATTTCAATCAGGGAAAATTTTCTAGACTTGTTTGTATTTGAATACCGGCGAGCGGGTTGTAGAAAGGGATCGAAACTTTATCAAAAACAAGAATTCCTATGTTATTTTGCGGCGAAATCGAGCGGCGTTAGAGGATGATGGTTCGGAGATATGTGGGTCTCTCACCCTCACACATCTCAGTCTCTTCCCATTACCCCACTGTAGGAACAAATTCGGCTCTGCTCCCGCTCCCGCTCCCGCTCCCGCTCCTGCTCCTGCTCCTGCTGGCTCACACAATACTCTCTCATTCTTCTCTTCTTTCTCCATCATCATCATCATCATATCTATTAAATCAACAACACCAACAACAAAATATGAAATTTTTTGGATATACAAAATTCCCAGTTTAAGGAAAAGATAATCATGGTGCTTGCTGTGTGACCTTGAGATCTACGGCTGCTCAAAGAAATCTGGACCGAATCTTCTCAGAAATTCCCTGAAAAAATCCAAGGATATGGAGAAAGAATTACAAAACCACCCACCAAGAGAGAGGGAGAGATAGAGAGAGAGAGAGAGAGCTTTTGGGTCACAAGGAAACAGAAAAATACAAACAAGAAGAAGAAGAAGAAGAAGAAGAAGAAGAAGAAGAAGAAAAAGAAGACATCTTACAGTGAAAGAGTTCCTCCATGTCAGAGAAGAATAACCATTGGCGTTTCTTTTTCTTCAAAACAAAGAAAGCCCAAATATAACAATCTCTCTCTCTATCTCTCTCTCTGAACTCGTATGTATTTTGTTGGTTGGGTAGAGACTGCTTCTCTTTCTCCTTCTCTCTCTCTCTCTCTGTATATGTCTCCGTTTCTCAATTCTCTCTCTATCTCTCTCTCTCTCTCTCTCATCTTCTTCTCTATTCTCCATTGTATTTATTTATATATTCACTTTTTTTTTATCGCCTGATAACTGAATATAATACCAACCGTAGGATTTTTCCAATGGACGGTCCGATTGCGTCTTATTACCTGTTTCGCTTTAAGCCTTCCCTTCTGATTCAAACGAGGCTGGACAGAAAAACCTCCTTCTCTTTTTGTTGTTGGCTTGGGCCTGTCCATTTGGGCTTCGATAAGGACAAGGTTGGAGTACAGACTAAAACAAGTTTGTTTGACCAGGTTTACCAGCCCGGCCCACTAAACTTACTTGGACTGGTCTGCAATGACAGTAGTTTGGTTTGGGCTTCTAAAGCTCTTAGTTACATGGACCCAAAAAATAACACATTCGTGTAAATTGATTCCCAATTCCAATTTGGGCATTTGCTTGCTGCATTATTCAATGCTTATGCTTTGTTGTTGAGATGGGTGCTTTCAAGGTGAAAAGGCTTTGATAAATGAGTAATGAATTAAACACTCTTTTGTACCCCCCCAAAAAAAAATTAAACACTCTCACTCTTTCTTTTGCTAATTCAAGTAGTGGTATCTCTCTCACCAAATATCAGAGAGATATCTAGAATAGAAGAGAAGCTCTTTCCTTAAGCTACACCTGTGGTATCACTCTCACCAACCACCTGGGGAAGTACTTGGGCACCCCTATTCTCCACAATAGAGTTTCTAAAAACCAGTTTCAAGATATCCTTACAAAATGGCTCAAAGACTTTTTGGATGGAAACCCAAAAACCTTTCCCTTGCTGGTAGAACAACCCTGATAAAGGCTGTCACTTGGGCTATGCCTAATCACCTTATGCAAACTATGGAAATCCCTCGGCACACCCGTGACCAAATTGAGAAACTTAACAGAAGCTTTCTTTGGGGCAGCACTAACGCTAGAAAGAGACTCCACCTTGTTAACTGGCAACAAGTGTGCAAAAGCAAGAAGCATGGAGGCGTAGGAATCAGAAATAAAATATCAGAGCTCAGAATTCTGCTCTAATTGCTAAGTTAGGGTGGAAACTTGCCACTAACTCTAAAGAGCTCTGGTGTACTGTGGGGATATATTTTTTAGTACCAACACGTGGCAAGGTGACGCCGACGTGTCAGCCGAGGTGCCACGTGTCCTGGTCGATATGCCGAGGTCATCTCGGTTAGGCCGAGGTTATCTCCGAAGATATCGGAATCCGAGATAAGCAGATAAGAGATAAGGGACAAGAGTTCTAGAATAAAGAAGAGACTTAGCCAAGATAAGGATAAAGCTCTTAGAGAGTTTATCTTTATCTCTGGAGGAGTCCAAAGTAAGTATTGAACAGGAATCCATAGAAGTCAGGCTTCTATTAGGATTAGGATTGAGGTAACTATAAAAGAGAGGCACCCACATGGGTCTAAGGTACGCAATTTATATTCTGTCTAGTGAGATTAGCACTATTGATTATCTTTGAGAGATATACTGACTTGATTGTCGGAGTGCCCCCGGGTGGCGAACTACCGCCGGAATCTTCTCTTTCTATTACAGGTTAGCCAGGTGTCATCTATTCTGCCAGTGTTCTCCAGCTGAATACTGAGTTGGGCAGTGTGATCGGAAAATCACTCACACAATTTGGCGCCGTCTGTGGGAAAGAAAGGAGAATAGATGGCCAATAACGGACAGAAGGAAAAGATTGGAGACGACACTCCTACTGGAAGTGGGAGACCTATTGACCTTGATATCACAAGAGACGAATGCAATGCAGAAACTTGTGACCAGAATCACGGAGAGAAAGACGTCGGCCAGACTGGCGACGCATCAAAGAAACCAAATTGAAGTGAATACTACAACGAGAACAACCTCCAGGTTTGGAAGGATAGGTGCCTACGGAGGGACGAAGAGGTAAAAGAGATGGCAAACAAACTGGCAGACCTGCAGTCGGTCGTCAATTTCATGATGCAAAATAACGTCATACAGCCACCGTTCTCGCTGCACGACACGCCGATCCCAGTGGCCAACACCCAGAAGGGAGGGCAAAAAACAATCCCCGAAGCCCTTCAGCACAACGGGAGTGAGAGATACTCTCATCGACCTTCTAGAGATGACAGACGAAGAGAATCAAGAAAAGAAGAATCACGGAGGACGCATCGCACAAAAGAGGCAGACCCCAAAGGACATCGGCATGTTCAGGGACAGGCGTTGTGCTTCGATACAACTCATGGAGAAGGGTCGAAAAGGGCTCACCATGAGGCCGAGAGTAGTATACCGAAAAGACTGAAGTCGAAAGATAGCCAAGCTCCTGGGCGGAGCAAAGAAGACTTAAGAGTTTACCTCAAGAGGAAGCAACAGAATGCCGAAGCCGAGGTAACCTCCCCAGATAAGCCGAAGACACCATTCTCGATGGAATTAGACAGATTTGAGGCACCGAAGCGATTCAGTATGCCGAGGTTTCAAATATACGATGGTAAGACAGACCCCAACTTCCATGTTGGACTATATTTGAACTCAATGGCATTGTATAGTGGAAACGAGCCGTTGCTCTGCAAAGTGTTTCCCTCATTCTTCGGGGAGATTGCATCAAATTGGTTCCACAAACTACCGAAGGGAAGCGTGAAGACTTGTGAAGGCCTGGCCGAGATGTTTGTGGCCAGGTTTGTGACAAACAAGCTACAGCCATTAAGGGTGGACGCATTGATGGCTCTGAAGATCAGCAAGGATGAAGGCATTAGGGCCTATGCAAAAAGATACTATGAGGTGTTCAATCGAATACCCAAATGTAATCAAGAGATGGCGGTCGTATCTTTCAAGAACGGCCTGAAAGACAACTGTCCACTACGAAAGTCTTTGGCAAAGACATTGCCAAAAAGTATGGAAGAGCTCATGGCAAAAATCGAAAAGTATGCCAGAGCTGAAGAAGACATGTCGGAGGCTAAGGAGATAAAACAAAAGAAAGGAAACGGCTCGCCGAAACGAGGCTGAGGTAACAATGGATCGAACAAATAAGAAGCAGAACTAAGGGCCACACAAGCAGTAACGACTGTGTTCCGAATCCCAATCTACAAAGTCCTGGATCAAATTCAGAATCAGCCCTATTTCAGAACGCCAGAGAAGGCTCCAGGAGAGTTCATGGGAAGAAACATTGGCAGGCATTGTGCCTACCACAATGAAGATGGGCATACAACTCACGGTTGTAGAGCCCTAAAAGCACATTTGGAAGACCTGGTGAGACAAGGACATCTGAGAGACGTTGTCGATGAGACCAGGACAAGGAAAGAACGGGTAAGGTTGCCTCAGGCACCAGCAGCCCCACCTAGGGCCTACGCAAAAAGATACTATGAGGTGTTCAATCAAATACCCGAATGCAATCAAGAGGTGGCGGTCGTATCTTTCAAGAACGGCCTGAAAGACAACTGTCCACTACGAAAGTCTTTGGCAAAGACATTGCCAAAAAGTATGGAAGAGCTCATGGCAAGAATCGAAAAGTATGCCAGAGCTGAAGAAGACATGTCGGAGGCTAAGGAGATAAAACAAAAGAAGGGAACGGCTCGTCGAAACGAGGCTGAGGTAACAATGGATCGAACAAATAAGAAGCAGAACTAAGGGCCACACAAGCAGTAACGACTGTGTTCCGAATCCCAATCTACAAAGTCCTGGATCAAATTCGGAATCAGCCCTATTTCAGAACGCCAGAGAGGACTCCAGGAGAGTTCATGGGAAGAAACATTGGCAGGCATTGTGCCTACCACAATGAAGATGGGCATACAACTCAGGGTTGTAGAGCCCTGAAAGCACATTTTGAAGACCTGGTGAGACAAGGACATCTGAGAGACGTTGTCGATGAGACCAGGACAAGGAAAGAACGGGCAAGGTTGCCTCAGGCACTAGCAGCCCCACCTCCCCCAGCGCAACAGCCGCAGGCAGGAGGACCTCGGGTAATCAACGTAATCCACTCGAAGGTCAACGAAAATGAAATCCGAGGAGAGACCCAGAAGGTAAAACACCTACAACATGTCTACCAAATCGGGGAGAAAAGACATCGGGCAGAAGAGTGCCAGGGACCAATAATAACCTTTACTGAGACCGACCTAGAGATGGTCCAGCATCCGCACAATGATGCTTTGGTAGTATCCCTCCAGGTTGGGGAGTGCCAAGTGAAACGCATCCTGATTGACCAAGGTAGCTCTTGTGACATCATGTACGTCCGATGTTACAAGGAGCTCGGCCTTCACCCAGATGATATGGAATAATCCAATGGCCCAATGGTTGGGTTCAATAGAACGTCGACATGGCCACTAGGAACAGTAAACTTGGAGGTGCAGGCTGGCACTAGAAAGATCAAGACAGAATTCACTATCATCGACACACCCTCCCCTTACAATATCATCTTGGGAAGACCATGGTTGCATGTAATAGGGGCAGTTCCCTCAACATTGCATAAACTATTGCGATTCCTAACAGAGCATGGGATAGAGGAAGTCAGAGGCGATTAACTGCAAGCAAAGAATTGCTCCATGGCAGCAATAAAATCTACCTGCAGCATACGAGAGCCAGAAAAGGTAGAAATTGAAGATGAGGACGTGGAAGTCCTAGAAGACGTCGGTAAAGAGCCAGCCAAGAAGAGCGAAGAGGCACTGAAGAAAATCTTCGTCCAGGATGAGGATGAAGAACGCTTCTTTCTTCTCGGCTCGGGCTTAGCCGACGAAGAGAAAAAAGAGTTGAAAACTTTTTTGAGAGCAAATATTGAGATGTTTGCTTGGACACCTTACAAAATGCCTGGCATTGACCCTGAGGTCACTTGCCACAAACTGAATGTTGACAGGTCGGCCAAACCTGTAATTCAACGAGCCAGAAGACCGACATTGATGCACGTCGAAGCAGTAGAGGAAGAAGTAGACAGACTTCTGGAGGCCAGGGCCATTAGAGAAGTTCACTACCCGACATGGCTATCTAATACAGTAGTGGTAAAGAAGAAGAACGGTAAATGGAGGGTCTGCGTAGACTTTACCAGCCTCAACAAAG